AACCTTTTTTCAACGTTGATAATAGGTCAAACTTCAACGTTGATTCCACGTCGGATATCAACGTCTAAAAAACTTTCATATACAACCTTTTTTCAACGTTGATAATAGGTCAAACTTCATCGTTGATTCCAGGTCGGACATCTATGTCTAAAAAACTTTCATATACAACCTATTTTCAATCTAATTTCAACGTTGAGGACCAACCTATTCTCAACGTTGAAACAACGTTGATGTGCCTGCTGGGAACGCTCATTGCCTCGACTCCATACGCGGAATCGGCCTTCGGAGTGTGACATGTGGAATATCGACTCATCAGAAAACAACACTTGTTGCCATTGTTGACGTCGCCAACGCTGGTGTTGTCGAGCCCATTGTAAACGATGGTGGCGGTGACGTTGTGTAAGTATCGGTCCGACGTAAGGACGGCGACATCTGATCCCCGCTGCCCTCAGTCGACGACAAACGGTGTCTGCAGAAATGTTACGGTGTGGCCCTTGAATGGTTGCAGCCGTCTGTGATGCTCGTTGTTGTCGGTTACGCAGATGAGTAACCCGGATGTGACGATCTTGACCTGGCGTCGTTATTCTCGGACGTCCAGAGCATAGCCGGTCTTGAACATTTCCGGTTTGTCGATGCCTTGCAGAGAGTCTGGTGATTGATGTCACGTGACATCCGAAGTGCCAGGCCACCGCAGTTGCTGTTGATCCGGTCAGCAACATTCCAATGGCGATCCCTCGCTGCTGTTGCGTTAGACGTGGCATGTTTTTTCAGCGTTCTTCAAGTCGATTTTGTGGTGTATGGTGTTTTTGTAATGACCTGCCTTATAAAGGATTCAACTGGATGGAAATGCACGCATTTTTGTGTGAAACGTGAAAAAATCGTGCAGAAAACACCAAAAGCATGAAAACAATCGCAATCGGGCAAGAATAACCGGAAACAACGGCAAAACCATCTTGGAATGAATGGTTTCATCATGGGATAGTTTTTCCCCCTATAATAAATTTATTTGAAGCGCATGGTTATCACACAGTAAGTTGCGTTTATTTTGCGGTTCAGTATATTTGAGACATACAGTTCCCCTGTTATTCACACTCGGCTTCTGCTGTTGTGTGTGCCGCTCCTAATGCTTCTTTTTGTCTGCTTGTTTGTGAACAGTTCTCAACATGACGTCTAGCCCGACAATGATGGCCGACTGACGTTCAGACGAGATTTAGGTCACGAAGTTTACAGCAAATGTTTTCACTTGACAAGTGTTTTGATGAATTACATTATTGCATTTGAAACCAAATCCTCAATTGAAAAGAATTAAATTTTGATTTCGACTTGATTCTGTTTTAATTTGTTTATTTTTTTGACTAGTTAAAGGAACTACATTGCCTCTACGAAGCATACATTTTCCTGGAGTGAAGCGGTTGACATTCCAATCACCAATATGATGTATCAATCCGCGTTGTGCGGTTCTATATAGGAAAGCAAAATATTGCATTATTTTAACGATATTTTCATTTTTTAGAACGTGGGTAATAAATAGGATACAAAACTCGTTCCCATTTCACATCAAGTTTATGTCCCTCGTGAAATAATTTTCGTGATAAAACTCGATTGATATCCTTAATTGTGTTCAAACAATCGTCAAAATATGTAACAAAAGTGTTGATAACATGATTTTACACAATTGCACACGTAAAAAAAATCGATTTTACCCGAAAATGTTACAAAGATCAAAAAGGCATCGCCACAACGCAACAGCAATCGGCTTCCAGTTGAAATTGTGCAGCAAAGAGCATGCACTGTCTAGATATAAAAATCCAGATTACTTTCGGAAATCGGCACTCGTTTTGAAGGAGTTTCAAGGTCAAATGACTATGCTACCTCTTGACGCTGCGACACGGAACATCGCCATTGAAAGAATTCACGCTGGAGATTAATAATCTTCTGTTGCCAGGGGTCTGAATGTTAGTCTGAGCACGATATCACGATTTGCAGCTAGTTACAACCAAACAGGTAAAACAAATGGCCGTCCCCGTACAGGCAGACCTAGGGTCACCACTGCAGCCCAAGATCGGTACATCCGGGTACTACATTTGCGTGATCGTACTGCAACGGGTGAGAGCACAGCAGCCAGGATGCCTGGGCTTCGGAGGATATCCGGTCAAACTGTACGGAACAGGTTGAGAAAGAATGGACTGAGAGCCAAGAGCCCCAATGTCGTGACCTTTCTACGTCCTCACCATCGCGCTCAACGTCTCCGTTATCTACAATTATCCACTTGTCAAAAACACAAAATAATTGCATCATGTTTTAATCCATTTAACTAAGAAGAAAGTCCTGTGTCATTACAGCCAAAATATCTGAATAGACTAAATACATTTTCGTGCATGGTAAATTTAACCTGCTGGGGCTTATATCTAGCTGTATTCATGATAGTTCAATTTCAATGGGCTCAAATAGAGGTGAGGTGAGGTGAGGTGAAATTAGGTTTTACGTCGTTCTTGAGAATATTTCGCTCATATGACGACGTGCATGCGTGTGTATGTGTATGTGCGGCTGCTTGTACTAGCCCAGACTGAAGCTGGTTTTATAGTGCTAGCCCACTGAGATACCATGCCGCAGTGAAGCATGAATATCCCACTCAGACACATTATACTGACTCCGAGCCGACCAGTCCTTGTTGTACTCATTAATGCCGAGCGCCAGGCAGGGACCAACAAGTACCATATTTTAACGTCTTTTGGTATGACGCGGTCGGGGATCGAACCCGCGACCTTCCGCTCTCCGGGCGGACGCTCTAACCACTACACCACGGAGGCGGTCCTCAAATAGAGACACAAGCACAGACACACACACACACACACACTCACTCACTCACTCACTCACTCACTCACTCACTCTCTCACTTACGCACGCACGCACGCACGCACGCACCCACACACGCGCACACAGAGGAAGCAGTGTTTATGGAGGGTGGTGGCGAGGTGCGGGTATACAGGAGGGGTGGGTGGTGGATTCTGTTATTCAGCAGGTGTATTTGCATCCTTCTCACTAAGCATCCCATTTGCTTCTATAAAATGACATGGTAGCACACCCCATGATTAACGAACGTTGACACTATCATCCAGGTCAGACCCGGTCGATACCCGTTTCAACACTTCCCTCCGATAGTAAATAATCCTCGTGATAAAGTTAAAAGGTAATACATGTACATCGATTCTAACCAAAACATTTTAGGTATCGATTTATGTAAAGTAAAGTAAACACTGACGCTCTTACTGTATATCATTAATTTAGCTGTTAGCATGATCCAAATAATGAATGAAAGGGAACGAGTACAAAGCGCATTTTGTAAACGCTGGAAAGGCGCCAGTTCATCGTGTTCCCCTTTGCAAAAGGGGTAGTGTAGCCTTGTGGTTAAAGCGTTGGCTCGTCACGCCGAAGACCCGGGTTCGATTGCCCATGTGGGTACAATGTGTGAAGCCCATTTCTGGTGTCCCCCGCCGTGATATTGCTGGAATATTGCTAAAAGCGGCATAAAACCACACTCACTCAATCCTTTTCACAAAGAAATGTGGGAAAGTCCTATGATAAGAAACGCACATTGCAAAGCGGATACACTCTCACCGAGATAAGAGTTTATCAGTCATTCCCAGATCCTCACACACGGACCTTGAACAGTTGTGTTGTTTATTGCCTATTACCAGTTATGGTATGCAATACTTATGTGAGCATTAGCGTAAATCCAGAAATAAAGGCTCATTGGACTCAGCCCAAAAGACGTGTACTGTAGAATCTGTTTTCTGTACGAGATTTAATAGTATTCTCTGCATTCTAAGCTAGATTTATCAATAATTGGCGTGGCCATCTAGGCTACGCCAGGAAAGATAACACAATGATATTCATCATATACAAACTCATATAAATGTGGCCCGTGAACATCCGGGTTAGAATTGGTCTTCAGCAACCCATACCTGTCGTAAGAGGCGACTGACGGGATCGGGTGGTCAGGCTCGCTGACTTGGTTGACATATGTCATCGTATCACAGTTGCGTGGATCGATGCTCATGCTGTTGATCACTGGATTGTCTGGTCCAGACTCGACTATTTACAGACCGCCGCCATATAGTTGGAATATTGCTGAGTGCGGCGTTAAACAACCAACAAACCAACTTATAAATGTGATCAATATTTGCGGACTGTTTAATCGGGATTATGGGAGACGTAGGGGCATAAATATTTCTTGAATTTGGGAGACCCCTCAAATGATTTTCGAAATGGAGTGGGCCTCGACAAAATGCAATTCGGTCCTAAGACCAATCCGAACGGGCCCGTCCCCCACCCACTACCCCCATAATTAATGCCCAGTGACATCTAAAGCCACTTCAAAAGGACACTGCAACGTTATAGGGCTGCCGTTGTACATGTTGAAATACCTGCACCGACAGGGATTATGATCAGTATTGATCAGCTATGATAGTTGAATGGCCCGGCAACCGGTATTCATGTTACGTTGATGTTAGGTCACGTGGTACGCTCCAAAACCCAGAGCTGTGAGGGACAGTTCATAATTAATGGCTAATAGGGTGAAGATGTTTTTTTATGGAGAAGCTTATACAATGTGAATGACCCCCTAAATTTGATGACCAAAGTATACAACAACCTACCCCACCCTACCCCACCCCAATCCACCTCACCCCACCCCTTGTCATGTACAAAATGCTGTCCTCCCTAATTCATGTGTACAAAATTGATGACCCCAACCTCCCGAGGAGAAAATGGGTGACATCACACACCCACCCACCCCACCCACCCCAAACCCTACACACGCAACACGCACGCACGCACGCACGCACGCACGCTAACGCACGTACACGCACACACTTCCCCCTCGCCATAAATAATGAACTGTCCCTAAGTCTGCTCATGTTATCCAAATAATAAGTATTGTGTTGGTATGATTAAACGACTTCGTTCAACAGGTGATATTATAAATGCCTTTACAGAGAATAGACGGCAAACACACATCACCTCACTACAGTATCACTGACAGGTACACTGTCGCTAGGTGATATCAATCAGGCAAGGCCAAACCTGCTTTCCTATGTGCGTTTCTTAGAAACCAAGGTCCCGCCCAGGTCCTTTCCAAGAACGAAAATGCATCGTGGTTTTTCAACTGCGCATGCGTACATTACCAGCCTTGTCGGAAAGTATTGAAAACAGCAATTACAGTACGAGCCGCCGCGATTCAAGTAAGTAAACACAGTCATTCATTTGATATTTGTATAGTTGTATCTAGTACATAACATATGCATCGTTTGAATACAGATGAAGATGTGATGTAATCGCCTTCGGTAGATCTGCCAGTTTATGCAATGGGACTTCAAGCGTATCATCCCAGTGCACATGAGGCAAAGAAACCAATGGGTGACTGCGCTTCGTTGCATTGCCGAGGGTATCTAGGCAACACGCATGTGTGGTGGAGGCAGGTGAGGGGGGAGCATTATGGCGTCGTGTGTAAAGTGAGGACGAAGTAACCTCTGTTACAGGTTTGGGAGGCTGTCATGGTTGTTGTTGTCTACCTGATATTCTTTATGATTTGTTTCTTAGTTTTTGGGATTGTTTTTGTTTAATTTGATCGGTTTTGGAGGATTGAGGGGTTGGGATTGTTTTGTTTTTGGGGTGGAGGGGTGGTTTTATTTTTCGGTATTTATTTTGTATTGTTTTTGGGGTTGTTGTATTTACGGTTCGGTGTTTTAGAGAAGCCGTAGGGGTAAAAGTGATGGGTCTGAGTCGTTTTCGTACGCTTTAGGCCTGATAGGGTTGCGACGGCTATGAATATTGTTTGATAATATGTCTTGTTCTTTTACGAAATAGTCTGTACCTGGCCAGCGGGATGGATGTGATCAGTTACTTGTCATGTGATTCATGTTCAGTTTGTAGAGGCAAGAAATGTCACCTTTGTTGCTCACAGCTATCCGTCGTTCATCGCGTTACTTCATGTTATTTCCCCTGCGTCAGCAGCTAAAAGACCTTTACCACAACGTCAATGACCCCTGCACCAGAAACGACATTTTCTGGAGCACATATAGACCTCAGCAGCAACTAATCTTTGTCACATCTTGCCTTGGTCAACAACCAAATATCTCCTTAAATACATTCAAGACATTTCCTGCACCAGTAGCTGAATAAAATTTATCACACACATTCCTCAGCCTGCAGCCGTAGCCTAGTTGTTAAAGCGTTTCTCGTCACGTTCAGTTCCCCACATGGGAACAATGTGTGAAGCCCATTTCTGGTGTCCCCCGCCGTGATATTGCTGGAGTATTGCTAAAAGCGGCGTCAAACTAAACACACCCTCTCACCTGCAACTAAAATGCTCTTATGACACACACACACATTCATCCACCAGCAGCTGAATGATCTTTATAACACACATTCATCCATCTGCAGCTGAATGATCTTTATCACACACATTCATCCACATGCAACTGAATGATCTTTATCACACACATTCATCCACCTGCAGATGAATGATCTTTATCACACACATTCATACACCTGCAGCTAAATGATCTTTATCACACACATTCATCCACCTGCAGCTGAATGATCTTTATCACACACATTTATCCACCTGCAGCTGAATGATCTTTATCATTCACATTCATCCACATGCAGCTGAATGATCTTTATCATACACATTCATCCACCTGCAGCTGAATGATCTTTATCACACACATTCCTCCACCTGCAGCTGAATGATCTTTATCACACACATTCATACACCTGCAGCTGAATGATCTTTATCACACACATTCATCCACCTGCAGCTGAATGATCTTTATCACACACATTCCTCCACCTGCAGCTGAATCATCTTTATCACACACATTCATCCACCAGCAGCTGAATGATCTTTATCACACACATTCATACACCTGCAGCTAAATGATCCTTATCACACACATTCATCCACCTGCAGCTGAATGATCTTTAACACACACATTCATCCACCTGCAGCTGAATGATCTTTATCACACACATTCATCCACCTGCAACTGAATGATCTTTATCACACACATTCATCCACCTGCAGCAAAATAATCTTTATCACACACATTCATCCACCAGCAGCTGAATGATCTTTATCAAACACATTGCTCAACCAGCATCTAAATAATCTTTATCACCCCCATTCCTTCACCAGCATCTAAATGATCCTTAGCAAAAACCCTTTCCTCCACCAGCATCTAAATAATCTTTATCAAACACATTCCTCCACCTGCAGGTAAATAATCTTTAACACACACATTCCTCCACCAGCATCAAAATAATCTTTATCAAACACATTCCTCCACCTGCAGCTAAATGACCTTTAACACACACATTCCTCAACCAGCATCTAAATAATCTTTAACACAAACATTCCTCCACCTGCATCTAAATAATCTTTATCAAACACATTCCTCCACCTGCACCTAAATGATCTTTATCAAACACATTCCTCCACCAGCATCTAAATAATCTTTATCAAACACATTCTTCAACCTGCATCTAAGTAATCTTTAACACACACATTCATCCACCTACAGCTAAATAATCTTTATCAAACACATTCATCCACCTGCATCTCAATACTCTTTAACACACACATTCATCCGCTAGCAGCTAAATAATCTTTAACACAAACATTCCTCCACCAACATCTAAATAATCTTTATCAAACACATTCCTCCACCAACAGCTAAATGATCCTCAACACACACATTCATCAACCTGCACCTAAATGATCTTTATCAAACACATTGCTCCACCAGCATCTAAATAATCTTTATCACCCCCATTCCTTCACCAGCATCTAAATGATCCTTAGCAAAAACCCTTACCTGCAAAATAATCTTTAGCAAAAACACTTTCCTCCACCAGCATCTAAATAATCTTTAACACAATCATTCCTCCACCTGCAGGTAAATAATCTTTAACACACACATTCCTCCACCAGCATCTAAATAATCTTTATCAAACACATTCCTCCACCTGCAGCTAAATGATCTTTATCAAACACATTCCTCCACCAGCATCTAAATAATCTTTAACACACACATTCCTCCACCAGCATCTAAATGATCTTTATCAAACACACTTTCCTCCACCAGCATCTAAATAATCTTTAACACACACATTCCTCCACCTGCAGCTAAATAATCTTTATCACACACATTCCTCCACCAGCATCTAAATAATCTTTATCAAACACATTCCTCCACCTGCAGCTAAATAATCTTTAACACACACATTCATCCACCTGCATCTAAATAATCTTTATCAAACACATTCCTCCACCAGCATCTAAATAATCTTTATCAAACACATTCCTCCACCTGCATCTAAATAATCTTTATCAAACACATTCATCCACCTGCAGCTAAATAATCTTTATCACACACATTCCTCCACCTGCAGCTAAATAATCTTTATCAAACACATTCCTCCACCTGCATCTAAATAATCTTTAACACACACACATTCATCCACCTGCAGCTAAATAATCTTTATCAAACACATTCCTCCACCTGCAGCTAAATAATCTCTTTATCAAACACATTCCTCCACCAGCATCTAAATAATCTTTAACACACACATTCATCCACCTGCAGCTAAATAATCTTTATCAAACACATTCCTCCACCAGCAGCTAAATAATCTTTATCAAACACATTCCTCCACCAGCAGCTAAATAATCTTTATCAAACACATTCCTCCACCAGCATCTAAATAATCTTTATCAAACACATTCCTCCACCTGCAGCTAAATAATCTTTATCAAACACATTCCTCCACCAGCATCTAAATAATCTTTAACACACACATTCATCCACCTGCAGCTAAATAATCTTTATCAAACACATTCCTCCACCAGCATCTAAATAATCTTTAACACACACATTCATTCACCTGCATCTAAATAATCTTTATCAAACACATTCTCTCCACCATCTGCAGCTAAATAATCTTTATCACACACACATTCATCCACCTGCAGCTAAATGAACTTCATCAAACACATTCCTCCACCAGCAGCTAAATAATCTTTATCAAACACATTCCTTCACCTGCAGCTAAATAATCTTTATCAAACACATTCCTCCACCTGCAGCTAAATGATCTTTATCATACTCATTCCTCCACCTGCAGCTAAATAATCTTTTACACACACATTCCTCCACCAGCATCTAAATAATTTTTATCAAACACATTCCTCCACCTGCAGCTAAATAATCTTTATCAAACACATTCCTCCACCAGCATCTAAATAATCTTTATCAAACACATTCCTCCACCTGCAGCTAAATGATCTTTATCAAACACATTCATCCACCTGCATCTAAATAATCTTTATCAAACACATTCCTCCACCTGCAGCTAAATAATCTTTATCAAACACATTCCTCCACCAGCATCTAAATAATCTTTATCAAACACATTCCTCCACCTGCATCTAAATGATCTTTAACACACACATTCATCCACCAGCACATGAACTCTAAATAATCTTTATCAAACGTATTCATCCACCTGCAGCTAAATGATCTTTATCAAACACATTCCTCCACCAGCATCTAAATAATCTTTATCAAACACATTCTTCCACACATTCACCTGCAGCAAATAATCTTTATCAAACACATTCCCACCTGCAACTAAATAATCTTTATCAACACATTCATCCACCTGCAGCTAAATAATCTTTAACATACACATTCCTCCACCTGCAGCTAAATAATCTTTAACAAACACATTCCTCCACCAGCATCTAAATAATCTTTATCAAACACATTCTCCACCTGCATCTAAATAATCTTTATCACACACATTCATCCACCTGCATCTAAATGATCTTTATCAAACACATTCCTCCACCAGCATCTAAATAATCTTTAACACACACATTCATCCACCTACAGCTAAATAATCTTTATCAAACACATTCATCCACCTGCATCTAAATAATCTTTAACACACACATTCATCCACCAGCAGCTAAATAATCTTTATCAAACACATTCCTCCACCAGCATCTAAATAATCTTTAACACAACACATTCATCCACCTGCAGCTAAATAATCTTTATCAAACACATTCCTCCACCAGCATCTAAATAATCTTTATCAAACACATTCCTCCACCTGCAGCTAAATGATCTTTAACACACACATTCCTCCACCAGCATCTAAATAATCTTTATCA